CCAGACTTTGGGAAAAGTCATAGTTAGACAAGGACAAAAGCTTTTACTCCAAAGGGCTTTGCTCTTTTCCTCCTCCCTGAGGGAGGGCATCATAGTCCAAAAACTTGTTTAAAATTTATACTAAATGTTCCTGAGTTTTCTCCTCCCACTGCCCTTGCAAAAATATTTACCACATGTTACACTGCTACATAGATACTGTTCAAAGTCAGGCGAGGACAATGCGGCTGTATCAGACAATAAACCTGCTAATGAAGCAACAAAATGACCAGTGCAACAGGTTTCACTACCCCTTAATCAAATTCCATGATCAGCAACTGATTAATGACAAATATTGTGCCTACTACTGAAAACACACGGAGGATAAGAAATTACTAAGCTCCCAAGTCAATGCTTTACAGTACTTTTACTGGTAAGAATCTATTTGGTTCCTGCTACTTCTTTCTACAAATAATAAAAGCAGGTTTTTCTGGCACAAAACTCCATTTACAGTGTTCTCTTATACTGCCTTTCTAAACAGGACAGTCATATTTAGTCAGAAGGCAACAATAATGGTGGTTACATGAACAGATCACTGCCCTACTTCAGGCCTCAAAGGCATAACAGATACAGTAATTGGGAAGAACCACAGGAGAGGAAGAGCCTTGTGAATCCAGTCAGGCTTAGTAAGTGCCTGGAAAAAAAAAACAAAAAAACAACAGTTGTACTCAAATAAACAAGGCATCTAGAATTACTCCAGCATTTAAAAACAGACAGGATAGAGCATTCATAAGTTCCTTTATTTACTTGCTGTATTTACTGCCGCTGAAGTTTGAAGACAAAGAAAGAAGCAGTATTCTCTGAAGAAAAATAATCTGCAATTGTCAAGGTAAAAATCCAAATTTAACCCTGACATTTACTTTCTCTGCAATTACCTCTACCTTTCTCATTTCCTCTACAAAATTGAGCTCATCTACAGGCAAGTGAAATTTATAAGTCTAGTAATTGTTATGCACTGACCAGAGATCAAGAGAAATAATTTCTGATCTCAAAGCTGGCCTCCAGGCCTCCACACACTTCTGCCCTGCATTTCAAAATTGACATAAGCCCTACTGAAAGAGGAGACACCGGGGCCAGTTTTCTGATGCAAAAAGGTGACTAAAAGCAGCTTTGTACTAACACAGCAACACAAATGTCAACCTAAAGCGGAGCTTTCAGCTATCTGCAGCTTGAAGAAAAGCAGCAAGATGGACAGTCCTGCTTCTGAAGCCACAAAGGCTTGTTTTAGGAAGAAAGGTTACATTCTGAGTGGTGACTCTTGCATGGTCTTTTTGATCAGCAAAAAAAATCCTCCTGTAGATTTGGGCAGACGATTTTTACAGTAGGCATATTCCACACAAACTAGTTTACAAGTATAAAAGTGATACAGTTGTTTGAGTATGAACAAAACTGGCAAGCCATTTCAATCAATGATAAAAAGACAATTAAAAAACCCTTTTTCCAACAGTGCATGCTGACCAGCCATTTGGAGGGGTGCCTCTGACACAAAAACACAGGGAAAGACATGGAGAGGGAAAACCAGAGTCAGTGTGTAGACAACAGTCCGTGTGCTCACAGCCATGGCAAGCCCTTCCCTCTCCTTTTCCCGTTCCTTTGGTGCTCCCTGCAGGGCAGCATGCAGAGAACAGCCACGCTTACAGGCTCTAGGTGAGACATGCTGCACATCAACATGTCCTGTGAAATAAAGAGAAATTTTTTTCACTGACTCCACTCCACCCACAGGCACCTTGACCAAAGACACCAACCTTGGTGAGAGAAGACATTGCCAGCTGTACCCTTCAGTGCTGTAAGTTTACACCCCCTTGCCTTACACCTACAGATAACCTTCGTTGTGTTTTGGGAATTCAAATAAAATGTTTGAAAAGGTTTGTCAGTAAATACAGCCATTTACACACAAGGGCAGCAATAGGACTCCAGACAGCATCAGGATCATCTGCTCATATTAATTCTCTTTAATTAAAATGCACTCTCCTTTTTCACCAACTTCCAAGGGAACACATTCCAGCCTGTTGTTATCCATATCAAGGACAGATGCCCTCGCTTTCCAGTCATATCTGCAAAATAGACTTTATGTATATGTATAGAACCATCTTTAAGTGTGTACAATCTCTATATTTAATACAATCTCTATATTTAACTTCCCAGTGTACTGGCCACCTGGGGAAGTTTAGATTTTGAGAAGTACAGCACATAATACCGCCAAATTACTAAAAGTACAAAGCTACCTTTTCTTTGCTGACAGCTAAACTGGCTAAGAACATTCTCAACAAAGTAGTTGAAAAATTATGGGCAGAGCCACATCATTTGAAAAATGGGCAACATGTAAAAACATATTCCAATACAAATAAAATAACTGCAGTTGTATCAAGTAATTCACGCTATCTTATCCTTTCCTTTATTAATTTTTTTAACAATGCGTCATCCTGCCCAAAATTCTTTGGAAATTATATTTAAAACACTGACTAGAATTTCAGGAAAATACTCCTGAACTTGTGAAAGCCTAGCCTTCTTCAGCCAAGAATCAGAACAACCTCCTTACTTGAAAATCCTAACTCTTACCAGGAAAAAGAAAAGGACTATCCACCAAAGAAAGCCGTAGCAAAAAGCCCCTGGAGAGTTAATTAACCAAGTATAAATTGTAACAGACCAAAATTCCAAAATGCTGCAATCTGTGAAGAAAATATGACAACAATGGAAAAAAAAATGGAGCTACTCTTATTCTAGTGATCTCTGAAGTTACAATTTTGCAGAGTCATGTATCAAACCACAAGCAGCAAGTACAAGCCCTTCAAATTCACACCTCCTCTGTCTTTGCAAGCACACACAAACGAAATAATACAATCCTAAAGAGAGGCAAGAACAACAAAACAGAAGAGGAGAAAGATACCTGCAGTACAATGCAAAGAGCCAATTAAAAAAGAATACCAAGACCTGAAAAACATCTTTAGCCTAGAAGGGTACTTCTGGATTTTGAACTGAGCACTTTAACCATAAAATTATAAACCCCCAGGGAAATACAAAAACAACCCTCTTGCTCACAACTGCTGTAGGATTAATCTGCACTGAAACACATGTAGGAAGGAGGTTTTTAAGGGTATGTTCACACTCATTCACAAGTTCCAAGCCCAGGACTCAGCTTTCACCATGTCACTCAGCAGCAGCCTCCGATTCTTCCGGAACTGTTACAAAGTTAATTCTTCTGACACAGTAGCGTTAGCATCCAGAAATGTCCACGCGAAGCAAACACATGCTAAGGACACACCAGAACGCAGCAGAAGCTCCAACTTCCACAACCGAGTGTTCTGCTGACACGGTGTTAAACAAGCTGGCTTTCCCTGGGTGTTCAAGTGCTGTGGTGCAACAGCGAAATGTGAAAGCCCATATTATGTGACACAGAGACTGCAGCCAAAAAGACTGCTGACATCCTGAATATTCCTTGCACTTCTCTGCATTTTGACAATCAGGTTTTTAGGTTAACAGCGCAGGGGGGAAGCTGAAAACGAAGCAGGACAGACTTAACTTTTGCCTGGTGTTTCACTTTCAAAGTTAAGAATGTTTGTTGAAGATGTTTAAAACCCTGCTTTGTGTCTACATGGCTACCACAGAAGTGCCACATTTAGAATCTTACAGGGTCACCTCAGACAAGTGATGTGGCTACACAGGTCTGCACCAGTGTCAGACAGCGCTTACTATTTGCTCCTAACACAATGTTTAACAGATTTACTTTCTCACAGAGAGCCAACAAAAAGAAGCAGCAGCTTGTGCAGATGGATACATGCTTTCATTTACCCTGGATAAATCTAAATGCTCAAGCCCTGAGTGGCCCCCTCGGAACACCAGAATGGCCAAAATGGGTAAAATCCACCCCCGTGGGGAGTGCATCACAGAACTTAAGGAGAAACAGCCAGGTTTGCAAAATTTAAATTTGATAACAGGCCTTCCCCAATAATAGGGCCTGAGGCTAAGTATTTTCATCTTCTTTAGTCAGTCATGGTACCATGGAGTCTTCACCCAGTGCTTTGGCAAGCAAAGTAATAGCTTCAAGTAGAGTTTTCACTCACTCAAAATACTCAGTTGGCCAATGTTTTAAAACACAACCAAACCAAAACTAGTCACACTTTTGAAGGCAAGCTTAAAATTCAACTGTGTGATTTAATAGGGGGAAAAAAAGGCCAGTTGCTTGTGCAAAAAACTAATCAGCAAGGCTAATTAGTTATTGCAAAGTATGCTGCTTCAAATTATTACTGGAGGTTGGTTTAAATATTCCTATCAACAGCTCTCAGGGACAATCATTAAATCTTGCTACCTTGCACAGTAACATCAAGTCTCTCCAGATTAACTGGGTACTCAGAGTAAGGGGAGAAATTGCTGGGAACTAACACAAAAGCAATTTTACAGAACCAGAACCCAACTCTAGAGCAACAAGTTTCCTGTGCCTATCGCAACCAACATGATTTTTGGCCTTGTCACAGCACAGGGCAGAAATCCAAGTAAACAAGCCTACCTCTGAGAAACACACACATGGTCCAAAGACTAAAAGTAATGTTTCCCAAACTCCATGAAACACGTTGCAAGGTCTCAGGAAAGTAATCTAAGAAACCAAGACACTTCTGGCTAAAATTCGCGTATTCCAAAAAATCTGACTGAGAACTTCAAAGCACACACTTGTGAGGCACTTCCTCAGCATAGCACATTTCAAAGTGTTTTCTGATTTTAAGACTCTGTTTGTAACTGAAGGCTCAAAGCTGAGCTTCTCTTTACTAAGTTCTATGATTTTTAGTATTTCCAACAGTAATTTCTTAGTTATTTTCTAAAAAGTGTGCCACAGAAATTAAAACACATTTTTCACCCCTACAGCTAATCATAAGATCAAGTCTTTATCCTGCCGTTTTCAAAACACAGTTCCCCTCAAATTCTACCAGATTTCCTCTGCCTTACCACCCATTCCTGGCCAAAACCTGAATTTATGCTCATGAGGAGCATTTTTATTTTGAGCCACTGTAGCAGCTACATTTATAAACAGAGGGTGCAGTCTCATTTCCCACAATCCAGCTTGTAGTCATTGCATTCTGCTGTCTCATAAACTGGTGAGGCCTTTGACTGGCAACATTCCTTCAGTCCTCTCCTTGAATTTACTTCCCAGGACCTTAGTGAATGCAGAGAGCAAGAGAAAAAAAAACAGGAAAAAAAGAGTTTTTTCAGCAACAGCAAAGACTTATGTTTCAAATATTTGAAGGTTTCTGACCCCTGCTTCTCCTAGGCATTTGCCATGTCCCCCAGTCACAATGGTAACCCAAATGAGCTCTTAGTCCAACTTTCAACTGTCCTCCTTTGTTTTTGAGATGGAAGAGGGTAAACCAACAGACTTTATAAAAGGAGATACAATGCTCTATAGCTTCTAGAGCTTTGCTGCCCACCCGGATCTTTCAAACCAGGGCCACAAGTGTGTCTTGGCTATCAAAACAACCATCTCTGCTCAGGCCAAGTGACAAGGCAACTTCCAACCCTGCCAACTCACTTAGGGCCCTTCCTCTCATCCCAGAATACCGCATCTCCCCGAGGATTTTCCAGCAGGCTCCCGCGAGCCAGAAGAAGCTTCACCTGGAAGCAAAACACGTCTCCTCCTCGCTCACAGCACACCCAAAGAGAGGGAGGCTGCTGTGAACCTCAGCACCGAGGTCAGCAGAGCCTCTCCCGCACTCTCCTGCTAAGTGCAGGCTGATTAATCACTGCAGCTCGCCCCGCGAGGCCAAACAACAAAGCCTCCCGCACTCTGCCACCTCCACAGCGATGCACCCGGCAGCAAACACCAGCCCCTCTCCAGGCAAGCCCCACAGCTCTCCCAGCCTTCGCCTCCTGGGAATCCGTGGAGGGATGGGAAGGAACACCAGGTTTTCCTTCAGCTGGAACCCCCCAGCCCCACCCGTCCCCCGCAACATCCGAGATATCCCAGCCCTCCCACTACAAACCCCACTGACCGCCAACCCCGCTTCCGAAAGGGAAAACTTTCGCTTCCTGCAGCGCTCCTCTCCTCCCTAGGACTACGTGAGGTGTTGATTCCCCCTCCCACCTCCCGGGCTGATTCCCCTTTCCACCTCAGAGCTATTCCCCTTTCCACCTCCCGGCCTATTCCCCTCTCCACCTCAGAGCCATTCCCCCCTTCCCATCCCCCGAGCTATTCCCCCTCCCACCTCCGGGGCGTCCTCCTCAAAAACATGGGGGGGAAAAAGTCCTTCCGCCGGAGGCTCGGCCACGGCAGCCCCTTTCCTTCGGCGACGGCAAGTCCCCCTCGCCCACCGGCATCCCGAGGAAAAAGGGCTCCCCTCATCGCCGCCGCCTGAGCTCACCCCCTCCCCGCGGCCCCGAACCCCCCAAAATCATCATCCCGCACCACCCCCGCGGCCCCAGCCCCTCAGTGGATCTCCAGCCACTCCACAGGAGGTGTCCGTCCCTCCTTTCCCCGGGGGTGAGGGCACAGATCCCCGCATCCCTCTCCGCGGCCGCGTCCCGGGGATGTGGGGGGGGGTGGTGCGGGCGGGGGAAGGAGCCCGGGAATGGCCGCACCGTCTCCTCGGGGTCGATGTCGATGCGGAAGGTTTGCTGCTGCAGCGTCTTCAGCGTGATCTGCATGGCGGCGGGTAGGTGCCGCGCTCCGGCCGCCCTCGTCCCTTCCCCGGGAAGAGGTGGCGGGGAAGAGGCCGGGAAAGGGAGGAGGAGGAGGGAGGCGGCGCCGGGCTCGGCGGGAGGGGGGGACGCGCATGCGCCGCCTGAGGCGCCCCGCACCGCGCAGGCGCGGGCGCGCCTGAGGGCGGGGAGAGCGGGAGGAGGGGCGCGGGCCGAGACGCAGAAATACAAAAATGTATATTTATATATATCTATACAGAGAGAGAAGGAAGGGCGTGAATGTGGGGGGAAAACGTCTGCGAGTCCGGCCTGTGAGCGGGCAGCACGGTGTCAGCACGCCGTGGCACTGAGTGACGCGTCCAGTCGTTGCTGGAGCGCCTCCGGGGCAGTGACTCTGCAGTCTGCCCAGTCACGCTTTCTTTGGAGAAATTTTTTCCTAATATCCGGCTGAACCTCCCCTGGCCCAGCCTGAGGCCGTTCCCTCTGCTCCTGTCCCTGTTCCTGGGAGCACAGCTCGATCCCCCGGCTGTCCCCTCCTGGCAGGAGCTGTGCAGAGCCACAAGGGCCCCCCTGAGCCTCCTTTTCTCCAGGCTCAGCCCCTTCCCAGCTCCCTCAGCCTCTCCTGGGAGCTCCAGCCCCTTCCCAGCTCCGTTCCCTTCCCTGGCCAGGCTCCAGCCCCTCAATGTCCTCCTTGGAATGAGTGGCGCAGGATACAACACTTGTAAGTTGTTAGACGAGTTTATTAATACACGCTTGCGGGTTTATAGCACCTCAGTTCCGCCAGTGCTGGTTTTGTAGGATATAAAAACCACCTAGTCCCAATCCCTCTGCCGTGGACAGGGACACCTCCCACTAAACCGGGTTGCTCAAGGTTGCTTTATCCAACCTGTCCTTGGACACCACCAGGGGTTGGGGCATCCACAAGCTCCTCAGGTAACCTGTTCCAGTGTCTCACTGTCTGTAAAGAATTTCTTCCCTATGTCCAACCTAAATCGGGGATAAAGAGGGGAGATTCCCCTAAAAAGGGGAGATTCTCTAAATCTCTCCCCTTTCTGTTTGTACCTATCCCTCCTTGTCCTATCACTAGAGTTCCCAACAAAGTGTCCCTCTCTGGCTTCCCTCTAGGCTCCTTCAGATGCTGGAAACTTCTCCAGGGGTTGAACAGCCCCGACTTTCTCCACCTGTCTTCACAGGGAAGGTGCTCCTGATGAACTTGGCCTCCTCTGGGCTTGCTCCAGCAGTTCCATGTCCTGCTGGCATTGAGGACCCCAGAGCTGGGTGCAGCGCTGCAGGTGAGGAGAAGAGAGGCAGAACTGCCTCCTTTGACCTGCTGCCCGCGCTGCTTTGGATGCAGCCCAGGATTCATTTGGCTTTCTGGGCTGTGAGTGCATGCTGCTGGCTCATGGTGAGTTTAGTGGTTTTGTAGTGCAGTGTTTGAGTAGCTGATGCGTGCCTTTGATGGGTTATTAACCTGTGTTTGCCCTGGTGCTCCTTAGGTAATATAGGAGGAGAGCTGCTACGAATAAACTTTAAAGTTGAGCCAGCTGTGTTGGTAAAAGAGACCCTTTCCCCTGCACCTTGTAACCTCTCCCACCTGCAGGTGTGGGATCTCCAGGGGCATTTTCCTTGTATAAAGGCTGTCTTTCTGCAGAAGGGGATACTTATGTCAGGCTCAGCCCCTTCCCTTTGCAGCTAAACTCCAAATTTCCTACTATTGTGTAATGGCCAGAGAATTTCTAGCCTGCCACATTGTCAGCTCAGTGTTTGTAATAAGAACCATCTTCTAGCTCCTTTTTTACAGTAGTCTTGGCTTCCTCACCACTTCCTCCCAGCAGCACGGCCAGCAGACGGCATTGCCGGGCAGAGGGAAAGAGGGAGACCCCTTTCCCTGCAGGAGGGAGGGGATGGGGACGTGCTACACGTACACACAGGGCTGGAGGTGCTGCTCATGCTCTGACACACGGCTGCCAGACAGCCAGAGCTGCCTCCTGCAGCTTTCGCAACTAAAAAGAAACCGCTGACTGTTGCTAGTAGGAATCCAGCATTCTTGACAACACTGAATGACTTGCTTGCTCTGCCTGGAGAGCCATTAAAAAAAAAAAAAAAAGGATAAAAAAAGAGAGAGAGAAAAAAATATCACTTGCTATTTTTTGCTTGGGTGGTTACAACTTAAAATATGCTGCTTGTTCACTTTCACTCTTGCCTGATACCTAAGTCTATACTTTGAAGATAAAAGGAATTTTTTTTTAACTTTTCATTCAGCAGTCCAGATATGTAAGTGCTGAGCTTCATGTGCAAACTAAAGTACCTCATGCTGAGGGGTTGTGTCAGTTTCACTACTCTTTTCTTCTCAGATTTTGTTAAACTACTCATTCTGACTTCTGTGTTTGCTGGTTAGTGTGTGAAGCAGTTCTGCCCAGGGCTAAGGGTTCATTTGCACAGTGGCTGTTTAGCTGTTCTTGTAAAAGCCACAGAAAAACTGGGAATTCCCAGAATTCCAGAGGCTGTGAACAGCTAAGGATGAAGTGGTTTTTTTCTGGCCATTTATTTGAATTTTGAAATAGAATGAGGGGAAAAAAAAAGAAGCCGTGATTTTTTTTTTCCTTCTGAGTTGTTCAAGAACTTATGACAATTCACTATATGGGGAATATAATAAATAAACAGATTCCTGGTATTTCCTCTAGCTCAGTCCATTCAGCTCCATAAAATCTGGCAGGGCTTGGCTCTCCAGTTCTTTCTTGCAGCTGCAGAATTGAGGGCTGGAATTTCTTACCCAGAGCACTCTCATAATTTAGTTTTGCAGTGCTTCTCCTTGACAGCCAGTGCTTGGTGTGTTTTTGTTTTTTCATTCTGTGTCTGAAGTATTTTGGGTAATCGCCCTGTGTACTGACTGAAGCATCACAGTTAGCTAACTTCATTTACAACAGTTTATATGCTGACTCAGTCAGCATACAAACCTCTCCTATGCAAAGAGAAAAAAACTTGGATTGATTTGAGAGAGATGTGAAATGAAGCCAAAGACTTAGAAAGATGTTTTGGCGGCAAATGCGTACGACGATTACTTTTGGATTCTTGCTTCCAAGTAACTTGATTTCCCTGGTGTGCTTATTCCAGCTTTGTGCTGCTGTGGCTTTGCCCCTCTCAGCTCTTTTTGGTTGTCCGTGATTTCCCAGGAACTGCTCTCTGCCCATACCTGTTCACTCTCCTGGGTTCAAGGACCCTGATTGTTACAGAACCTGTTGTAACTGTATCAGTGTGTCACCTCAGGTTATGTGCGTGTCACCTCTCCAGCCACAAAAAAAGTCTCCGTTGCATGATACTCAGGTTTGCCTGCTTATCTTGGGAAGAGTTTCTGTGGTTTTCATGGCAAATACAGAGGCAAAGACTGGAGTCAGTGTTCTTGGTAAGTCAATTCAACCTCTGCAGTAACACGCAGTAAGTACACACACCTTCCTTGTTACCTGGGCCATCCCACTGTCTTAGATGTCTGTGTGCAATTCAGGCTGCCTTATCACTGCCATAATTTTTACAAGTCCTGCCCAGACCCTGGGACTGATGGCAGATAAAGGATATGAAGGTGGATCTCACACCAAAGAGCTGTTTGGGGAAGCAAGGGGTGAAATGGTGCTTGCAAGAAAGCAGCACATTGTGTTTCAGACCTTTTGAGGTGGGGGCAGGCTTTTCAAAAACAAGAGAGTGCTGACAGAAATGGCCTGAACAAGGCCCTGAAGGTGTAAAAAGCAACTTTTTTTTGTCCGTGTTGAGCAGGGAGGAGGCATGCAGAGGGCAGTCCTCCAGGCAGATGCCTGTCAGTCTGGAAAACAGAAGTGATGGAAGGCAGAGGAAAGCTTTTGAGCTGCTGGTGGTGGTTAGGAAGAGTTGTTACACAGGTAGCAGAGCTCCAGAAGGGCAGCACAGCCTGGAGGGGCTTGGGATCAAATGCAGCACATGCTGGTAATGGAGAGGTGAGGGAAGTTAGCACCATTATTGACAGGCAGAGACATGACCTTACCCTTAATGAAAGGCAGCATTTCACACTTATTTCACAATAAGTGAGCTATCCCTGAAAAATGCTTCAAAAGCAGTCTTTTCCCACTGGATGTGGACGTGAAATAGAAATGAATTAATGTGAGTTGTCCTAGGCTGTAGTGTTTATTTGGCATTAGGGTGAGGTTTTCCATTGAGTTGACTGGTGTCTGCTGTTCCACACTTCTCCATGCAGATCTCCCACTGGCTTTCCCTGTATCACAAATTTGTTGGGAACACCAGTGTACCTTTTGTGAAGGCTGAACCAGCTGCAGGCACATCTCTAGAGCAGGTGAACCT